CAATTTAGATTCTTAGCAGGTTGAGTCTTACTTTTCTTATGCAGTACGTAAAGTAGACGATGTATCTCAGCCTCTTCTTCACTCCCTTATTGATCTCCATATTGGGTTTTATCTTCAGAGAACCTCTACTCATAGTTTTTATACCTATCGCCAGTTATCTCAATAGCAATTGCCGGAGTGGGCGTGCACACTCCACCCCCAGTGATAAATGTAAAACGAGTTACCAGATAGAGAAAGATGGATATACGTTCCTGCCGCTTAACTCCTTAGACCAGGTGTCAAGTCATGGCGGGGATAGCAACGACATCCATTCCCAAGACAGCACCTGCAAGAAGGCTACAGCTAAGAGGATTTCCACCTACCTCTGCTGTCCAATGGTTTCTGAGATATGCTTTTTGGTCCAAGAAGACAACTTGTTTTCTTTTTTGGAGTAGTATTTTTTTATCAATTTTAAACTAGAACGCTGATATTTCCATTTGGGGCTTACAACGTACTAGTTTGTTGTATGGAAAACAGTCGAGTTGTCCGTCTTGCCACAGTAGCTTCAAAGGGGTTCTTAACTAGTTCATTAGACTGCAGAGTATGAATGTAGGTATGTACAGTTAATTATGTTAATGGCTCTTACGGAGAGACAAGTCAACTGATGAGAGCAACGGGAGGATTAACATCAAAGGTAGTTGAAATGTTAACCGAATAAGTGAAATCTAAATTAATTCTGGCTTCAATCGAAATATGAAGTTTACCTGTGGGATAGTAAATGAAAATCTTTTACATATTTATATGAAATTAATTTATAAATTGAGGACAGTATGACAGAATTCAAAATTCATGAGATTAAAGACGGATTTAATGAGAGAATATTTTCGTTCGTTGCTAGCTCTTTAAAGCTCTTTAAATATACCAAAATGGGCTGAGACTGATCGACTTAGGCGGGTCCCAAAATATTTTTGTCTGTAGTCTCCGATTCAAGAGATCATAATAAAATTATTCGTCATTTCAGCAGTGTGGGATGGCGCGTTGTCTTGATTTAAAAACTAGTGCCGCAAATCCTCTTTCTACCTGTTTTCCAAAAAATTTTTGAAAACATTTGGTAAACACTCTTCGGTGTATCATTCTGCATACACCATCTGACCTTTTGCCTGTGGAGTAGCAGCTAAGATTTTAGATCGGGTGCAGTAAAATGAGATCATTACTTTGGCTGCTGATTTCTGTTATACAGATTTGAGAGATGGGCTTGCTTCTATAGGGCTCCATACCATGGACTGCTGCTTAGTTTCTGGTTCGCACTTATAGTACCAAGATTCAGTCAGCAGTAACGACTTTACTAAAGTTGCTAAACTGAGCATTTTCGAATTTGTTTAGGAAAAATTGAGCCTCTTTTTGGACCTCATTTTAATGAATCGAGCAGATTTCTTCGTGTATCTCAGATGATTACTCAATATTCGCGATACGGCCATGGCATTTAAGCCTAATTCATTTGCAATCATTTCTTGTGTCAATCGGAGGTCTTCGTGAATTTTGGACTTCACCAAAGCTACAATGACGTTAGCAGTGGAGGATTGAGTCGACAAACTAGTTTTATACTAGTTCACTTAGGCATGTTGAATTTCTACTTCGCCAAAAATAAAAATAAACATATATATAATATTATATAAATAATATAAAATAAAGACAATCGATGTATACTGTACTCTGTCGACACTTTCTTAAAAAAAATCTAAAAAAAATTTTTGATTAAAAAAAATTACTACAGTTGTTGCTACGCTAGCGAAACCTCATCGTGCCCCTGAAATACAACTTGAGATTTCCGAAAATAGCCGGAATAGTAAAACTCTTAAGAAAGCTCGAATGCGGGTTAAATATGTTTAGCCCGCCTAAAGACTTGGACTTGGGAAGTAGAGTATTCATTTTGTAGTTGTGTAGTAAAAATTCTTCTATTTTTTTAATGGGAAAAGGGAACACTTAGTTCTTTATCAATTTTTTAACAAAAAAAAATATATTTTTTCTTGAAAGAAATTTGCAAATAATAAATATTAATATAATTATTATAATTTTTTATTTTTTTTGAATAGGAATTATTTAGGGTTTAACTCACCGGTGGAATGACTTAATTAACTTCCGCCTGGTAAATTATTTTGCAGCTTTAAAAATACATACATATATACATATCTACAGAAAAAGCAGTGGTTGCTTGCAAAATATGTCTAGACAAAATATTATCAGTTGTCTCAAATCAAAGATATCCAAATTTGCAAATAACCATTTACCGTTATTTATACAAATACATATATAAGTACATAAATATGTGTATTTAATTCGTTTGTGATTATGTAAATTCACATAATCCCCTTTAATAAATGAGTAAAACTCAAGAAATTACACACAGCGCCCTTAAGTCGAGCTAACGAATTGCAGTTCCCTTTCTCTTCTCCCGACATCCTTCTCCTCTCCATTGATATATCTACCATTGCTCTAGTTTGTTTAGTTCACCTGCTGTGTCGTGTTGAGTAAACGTGTGTTCGCGATACAATTTTGCGCCAAATTGGTCGAAACAGCTTCGGATGGTGCCCTTAGTCGTGTCCAGGTGTATAAGGTATGAAGGGATTAAGGAGAAGTCGAAGTTGAAAACGATGATTATTACCTTTTTTGATAGCCGTGGAATCGTCCACAAAGAATTTCTTTCCAGCGGGGCAAAGCGTGAATCAAGTCTAATATCATCAAGTACTGGAAAGATTGCGAAAACGAGTCAACAGGGTGCGCCCAGACACCGTTCATAACTGGATCGTGCCACACCGCCCCCAGCGTGTCCCAGTATTTGGTCTCTAAAGGAATCGCTGTGTTGTAACAACCGCCTTATTCGCCCAATATGTCACCCTGTAATTTTTTTGTTTCCTAAAACAAAATCGGTGGTTAAAGGAACCCATTTTGAGTCGATTGAGAAGATCCAGAGGGTACTCGTGCACATCTCGATCGAAGTATTCCATGTATATAGCTGCCCAAGGGCTCTACTGAAGGGGATGGCAGATTTGTATAATAATTTATGGAATCAGTCACATTACTTAATTGTCACATCTCGTACATCTGCCGAACAATGAAGTATTATTCTTCCTTGCTGGCGTAGACACCACTTAATCGATTTTAGCCGAGTTAACAACAGCACACCAGTCGTTTATTGGAGATACCACTTGGAGACAAGTCCTTCTTTACTTTCTTTTCCTGAACCTTTCAGCGAAGTGGAGGTCTACCTTTACCTCTGCCTAAAAATATGTACCTTCTCCCTTTAGTTCTGCGGCACGTATTGTTTCTGTTGGATTTGCTATTATTGATCAGTGGGAGGCGGCTTTACACAGCCGATATCGCGAATATACCGAACGTAGACTTATTGGCGTAGAGGTACAAGTGGTGTGTATCGATTTTTTCCAAAATTTGGCGCACAGTGAATATCTAGTGTAGTTCGAAGCTCCACCTTTGCTGTTCTAACCGTTTGTTAAAGGTGAGCTGTAGATTTTCACACCATATTTCGCTTTGTCCTGCAGGACGTCAGTCGTTCATCAAGTGGTCGATCGCTGTGCGAACTTCGTCACAGTCTATAGATGAAGCTGCTGTCTTATATTAGTTTGTTGATGAGTGCTCTCAAGCACGGGCGTGCAAGCGGAGTAGAAAACTGTTTGTTACATTCCTCAAAGGTACCTTCTGTGTCCACTTTGGATTTAAAATCGCCAATCTCGATTCTGACATCGTGGCAACACTCGCACTTAACTTAAAGGTGCTCATAGCACATATTTTTGGACACACAGTACTTCTCTTGGGTGGAAACATGGCAGCAAATCATCGATAGGTTGAAGAACTTTGCTTTGATGTGGGTTCTTGGTAGACGTTCGTAAACGGGGTGAACTATGGAGTACTCTGTGCAGCACTCATCCAGGAGAGGTCATCTTTGATTAACAGAGGCCGAATTGTGTGCCATCAGGACAACGCCAGGCCATACACGTCTTTGGTGTCGCGCCAGAAGCTCCAGGAGCTCGGATGGGAGGTCCTAATGCACCCACCTTATAGTCCGAACCTGGAACCAAGTGATTACCGTCTTTTCATGTCCATGGCGAGCGCGCTTAATGGTGAAAAGATGGCCTCAATAGAGGCCTGTAAAAATTAGCTCCCGGACTTTTTGGCCGATAGGGACGAAGCCTTCTACGAGAGGGGTATAATGAAGTTGGCATCTCGTTGGCACCAATTTAAGAACAAAACGGCGCATATTTGGCTTGAATCGGAAAAATGTACACAAAGTTATCACATTTTGAGAAATCAGTAAAAAAAAACCCGAACGAACTTTTTACTTGGCCAATATATATATGCCTTACATATTTAAAAAATCTAAAACCAATATTAGTTTTTGTATGACTATAAATGGCGGTAGATCAATTTTGCATGAATTTTAAACACATGTTTATAACACACTAAACTAATTACGGTAATTAGAGTTAATGAAAATATTTCGTTGAACAAATCAATGCGTAGGAAGTTCATGGTGGGCTCCGTGCACTGTCCCCAAAAATTCAGTGTTTTCATAGAGCAGTGTGTGAGGTTGAGTTAGCGTGTATATACTCGTATATACATATATATGTATATACATATGAACTTATAACAAAAACAATATATTTTTAATTAAATATACTCGTCGAATCCATGAATTATTAGCAAAATCATTACAATTTGTTTTCCCAGATATAATTTCACTGTTTATTATTTATAAAGTGATTATAATTTTGTTTATTCATATGATATTTATTTGTTTTTACCAGCGTCCAAATGACAGCGGCGCAAAAAAGTTAATTAATTCATATAAATGGTCGCAAACAAATAATCAAATCGCTTCAAATCAACTCGATGCCTGAATGAATTCAGCGCAACTGAAGCGTGTGAGCAAGTAAATTTTTTTTTCGTATTTTTTTTTAGAAATTAGATTTTGCAAACTTCAACAAAACTTCATATAAAATTGTGGCATGGCATTGCTAAAAATCAGTTGACATCTCTATCTGTCAGTGAAAAGTGGTGGAAATATGAAGGCTTCACTTGTGTATTTTGCGGTGATTTTCGCTTTTGCGGTAAATTAATTTTTCCGTTATAATTTCACAAGTGTCTATATGTAATGTGCGTGTGTGTGTGTTTTTGTTTTTTATAATTTTAGGGTCACGTCAAAGCTGATGATGCTAACAATGCGACTGTTGACTGTACGAAGCCGCCACGTTTTGTAGTGAGTAGATTTTTCATTACCCACGCAGTGAGAGTGGGGCAGAGAGAGTGATCTAAAAAAATTTGCAATTACAAAATGCATTTTTTTAAGGATTTTTTATTTTCAATTTGTTAAACTAATTTGTGTTTACGATTGTTGAAATTTGAACATTCAAGATTTTCTATCAAATACAAAAAAACCATATTCAAAAATTTTTTAATATAAATAAGCTCAAGAAGTTTTATGAAATAAGCAAATTATATAAATATTTTAAGGTCTTCGCTTTTTCATGATTCTTTTTCTTTATTAAAATGCAAAAAAAAATTCAAAATACTTGAAAATTTTACTTTTCAAAAATCTAACACAAATCAAATCAAATTCTTCGAAAAATTCATAACGTTAAATAAATTCAATGATTTTGATAAAGATTTAAAAACCAAGTAATTTTTATAATTACAAAAATAAAATTACTGACTTAATTTTTTTCTGAATTAGATTTCTGTTTGGAAAAGTGAAAAATTTTTGTAGTGATAATAAAATTAAATTAAATAAAAAAAACGGAAATTTTATAGGATTAAAAATTTTTAGGAATTTGTAAAATTAAAAAAATTATCGGGGGCTTGGTTATAGAAAAGTGTAAGTTTTTTTAGTGGAAATAAGTTGTCACTATTTTCAAAAAAAAATTTTGGATTTTCAAAAAATTTAAAATCTTCAAAAATTTTGAAAATTAAAGAAAAATTAAACTTTTAAAGGGAATTTTTCATATATTTTTTGGGATAGTGATAACTTTTTGTAATGAAGACTAGTTTATCCATGGCACCACCATTTTCGAACAAATTTTGGATTTTTCATAAAATTTAAAATATTCAAGGATTTCCAAAATTAAAAATGCATACTTTTTTAAGAATTTTCAATTTTTTTTTTTGATAAGTAAAAACTTTTTGCAATGTAAATAAGTTTATCGTTCGCTTTCCATAAAAAAAATTCAAGGGTTTTTATAAAATTTAATATATTAAAGGATTTTTGAAATTCAAAAAAGTTGACTTTTTTAAAGAAATTTTTCATATATTTTTTTTTTTTGAAAAGTGAAAACTATTTGTAATGAAGATTAGTTTATATTTTTTTTTTTACTTCACTTTCGAGAAAAAAAGTCTATGATTTTTATAAATTAAACACATTTTTTTTAGAACTTTATTTTTTGTAAAACAGATTTTTTTCTTTTGGAAAAGACTTTGTAGCGAAATAAATTTATCCATTGTACTACTTTTTTTTTCCAAAATTCTACCCTAAAATCACTCATCAACCCTTCGCAATTGCCAGCCCCTACACTTGTGCTGTCCAGTACCTGATCTTAACACCGAAGAACTAATGGAACAATGTGCTGACTATGCTAAACTAGGACCACCACCACCACCGCCTCCGATGGGCAATCGTGGACCACCGCCTCGTGGTGGACCGCATAGGCATGGACCACATCATCATCCCGTAAGAAACTAGTGCATAAAAATAATATATTACAAAAAAAAATTATTATTGAAATACGTTTAATCAATAATTAAAAAAAAAAAAACATTTTATATATTTATTCTTTTTTTTTATTTTTTTTTTACTTCCCACAGTGCCTTACCGAATGTATATTCAACCAAACCGGAGTTCTCGATGCAACTCGTGAGCTTAATGTCGATAAATTTAGTGAATTACTCGATACAGCCGTTAAGGATAATGAAGAAATGGCTGCTATAATGGAGGAATCCTTCGAGACATGCTCGGCGAAGGCAGCCGAATTCAAGGTTAAAATTGCTGAAAAAGCGAAGGATCCCGGTTTTGCCGAACGAATGGCACAACATAAATCGCTCAATTGTTCGCCCTTGGCCGCTATGATAATGGCATGTACCAGCATGGAGACCTTCAAAAATTGTCCGACTTCGTCTTGGAATGATAGTGTGGAGTGTAATACCGCGCGTGACTTTGTAAAAGCGTGCAAAAGGGATGGAACTCCCAGAATTTAATAATTATAAAGATGCATTGGATTGCGTAGAAAATTGTGTAATTTGAGTGCTCAATAAAATTAATTGGCGAATATATATAAAAAAAAAACAAAGTCTTTGATTCAACTGAAGCAAGTTTGATTTTATTTTATTATACCCTTCATGAACTTGATACTACTTGAAAGAGAAGTGAGGGAGCTATCGAAATTCGAACCGATATGATCAGCTATGTCCAGCTGCCTGTCCATCTGGTTGCTCAGTTTTCGAAATATTTCAACCAAAGTAGATGCACTGTTATATTTATAGTATCATTTTTCGGACTTGGGTGGTACAAGTCACTTTTTTGACATTTGACAAGTAAAAATTACGCCAGTAATAAAAATGGAACGATATAACAAGGCAAAATTATTTAAATTCACTATAAAAATGTTGAAGACCTCGCAGATAACGTCGTTACACCGTATTTTGTATAAAGACTTGGGCCTTAAGGCTAATAAAGTTCAGTTAACATAAGAACTCAAGCCGGGCGGTCATCAACAACGAAGTGTCTTTGCTGATTGGGTTCTTAATATCCATGAAAATCATCGAAAAACCACCTCGACTGATTGCTACGCCAATAAACAAAACTCGGAAAGCCCGAATTTCATGGTTGAAAAACCTCTCCATCCTTTAGGTCTAACTGTTTGCTGCAGTTTATGGTCCGACGGTTTCATTCGACCTTACTTTTTCGAATGTGAGGCTGAGCAACAGTTATGGTGAGTGAATTGCGCTATGGAGAGATGAATAATGATATTTTATGGCCGAAATTGGGTGGCACTTACCTGGACTAGACAACGTTTATTTTCAACAAGACCTCACTAAAGGCCACACAACTAATGAAACCATCGATTCTTTAAAGGAAAAATTGCTGGAGCGTTTTATTTTTATATTTTATTCTATTATTGTCTATTATTATTGTTACCTATTTTATTTTACTTTTTTATTCTGTTTATTTATTTAATGTTTTTGTCGTGTGTTTTTCGTTTAATTTATTTCATGTTTTCTTAACTAAACATTAGTTTTATTATATTTATGTGTCTTTTTTAATTTTACCCAATATTTCTTATCTTTTTGAGTTTTTATTTAATTTACTATATTTTCTATTATTTTATTTATTTTCATTTGTTTTATTTTATTTCAGCTTATTTAATTTAACATTTAATATTACTTGATTCAATTTTCCTCTTTCCTTTTTTATTTTGTTTTACTTCATGGCTTTTACTTTATTTTTATTTGGTTTTCTTCTTTATTGTTTAAAGATTTTAATTTATAATTTGATTTGTGTTGCTTTATTTTGTGTTAATTAGAAATTTCGTTTATATATTTTTCGTTTTATATCATTTTTTCTTCGTTCTTATACTATATTGATGAGTGCATAAGTTCGTGCCCGATTTCAAGTACAAACTAAAATTGAAATTTTTTGAAGAAAGCGCTTTTATTAATCAATTATGNTTTTTTTGCTTTTATGTAATTTTTTAATTATCTTTTTATTTTTCCGTTTTTTAATTTGCTATTTTTTATAATTTATTTTGTTGTTTACAGTTAATTCTTTTTATTTTGTTTTAGATTATATTACTTTAATTTTTTTGTTTAATTTTTTTGTTTTATATATTTTATTTTATTTTCTTTTCATTTATTTTATTTTATAGTATTTCATTTTATTTTGTTTTATTTTATTTTATTTTATTTCATAGAATTTTGTTTTATTTTTTTATTTTATTTTATTTTATTTTATCTTATTTAATTTTTTTTATTTTTTAATTTATTTAATTTTTTTCTTGTATTTTATTTTATTTTCTTTTATTTCATTTTACTTAATTTTTATTAGTTTATTTTATTTTTTTCCTTTAATTATAATTTTATTTTAATTTATTTTAGTTATGTTATTTTATTTAATTTTACGTAATTTAATTTAATTTTTTTTATGTTATTTTCTTTTTTTATATTTTATTTTATTTTATTATTGCTTTTACTTCGAATATTTTCTTACTTTATTTTATGTAATTTCATTTAATTTAATTTAATATTTTTATGTTATCTTATTTTACTTTCTATTATTTTATTTTATTTTTTTTTATTTTATTTTATTCTATTTTATTTTACTTTAATTTACTTTAATTTGTATTATTTTATTTTGTTTAATATTTTATTCAATTTAATTTTAATTTAATTTTTTTTTTTTATGGCGTTTTATTTTATTTTTACATATTGTATTTAATTTTTTTTTTATTAAAATCAATTTAATTTTTTTGGGTTTTTTTTTTTGTTTTATTCGATGTTATTTAATTTAATTTAATTTAATTTAATTTTTTTGTTATTTTGCTTTATTTTTAAATGAAATGTATTTCTTCAAGTACAATTTTCACTTTTCATATTATACTGTTTGTTCCTCACCCTACCTTCGCCCTTACAAATCAGCTCATCGCCTTTCAATTTCATTTTCGCATGCAATGAAGTGTTAAATTCAATTTGAAGCTCCTTAATTTCCTTATCGCCAAATGCGTCAGCAACCAGACATTCGGCACCACGCGCATGTGCGCTGGTAGCTTCAAGCAGCTGTTCGCCTGGATTGACATGTACGCCTCGGCGTCAACTAAAGCCACTGGTGACTTCTTGCTATCATTCTCGACCGCCAAGTGTTCGCGTGCAGACGCTTCATAATGGAGAATTTGGAGAAAGAATTCGCTGATTTCTTTGTTGAATGTAAAAAGCAAGGATTTACGCCCACAGATATGCTTGCCATATGTCAGCCTTTGTTGCAACGTCGCTGCAACAGGTATTTGGTGATAGCATGCGGTGCACTTGCCGCATTTGGAGCTTTGTATTTGCTCTACAGTTGGTGTGAAGAGTTTAGTTGGCTTGTCAGCGCTATTGGACGGCTACTTCTCATACAACTGTTACCCTACTGGAATTGGACGCCATTGTATAACAGTCGCTGCCTCATTGAACGTGCGGTGGATGATGTGAGCTCTTCAACGCCTGCAACAAAGACATTGGGTCGTTACGAGACCGAGTCTGGAAATTGTGTGCTCTGTGAAACACTGGGTGAGTACTTGTGATATTGCACGAATGTTTTATGTATAGAAGTAAAAATACTGAGTAGAACGCGGAGCTTATTTAACTAGTAAAGCGGCTTTTGCGATTCGGGAAGTAAAACGGTACGATCTTGAAGCCAAAAAAATTTGCGCGATATCGAACGGGTGTAGTATATGACATCCATTCCATCCCTGCCTCACCCCTCCCTCGAGATTCTTTTTAAAAACTTTCAAACTATTATAGTCAGGCTTGCCTCAGTCCGACACCTTTTTTCGGGTACAATTTTCATCCGATTCATTGACTAATCTCGTGTTTAGGGTGTGGACAAATAGCTTTGTTTGAGCTTTTTTATATAATCCTTTACTCAGCGTACACTCTATTTTACGAGACGGCGCCATGTCTAGAAGTTTCCACAAGTGGAGAAAGCTTTTGCCTGCCATTGAACTGAATGTGGTTTGAAACGATTTTTTTAACTATGGATAAAGCAGTTCTCTACATGAGAGCCAAGTATTCTTTTTATAACCGATAAATATCCGTTAAAAGGTGAGCTCTTTGTGATTATGCGTAGGGTTAGTTATCCACAACATTAAAAATATCTTTACGAGGGCCTAAGGCAGAAGAAGGAGGGTTCTGGTTCTGTCTATTTTGGTGTTGGATTTCTGTTAAGATTAAGACTCCGGCGCGAGCTTTTGGTTTTCAACATGGTGAATGAACAAATCGCTAATTAGGGACCACTTCTCGAAGGATGATGTCACCAACGATGCTTTTTATGGGCGTTTCTAGACCAATGTCCGTGGAGCACGTGCTAATGTCAAAAGAAGACGTATATTTAGTGTTCTAGATATGCGCCCGTTCTTAAGACTTAACGTCGATTATGATCATTACCTAGTCATGGACAAAGATACGTTCTCGCCTCAGTGCAGGAAGTAACGCTATGGCTTTATACTCGATATGCACTCCAGCTTTCTAAGAGCACTACTTAGCCGTATACCCAATACTACGCCAACCGTGTCTGCTTTATGCTGTTTGGTACCCTTTTGAGGCATTAAGTGAGGTCAGGTCTTTCTTCACTTGAACCTTTCAACGGATGTTTATTCTCTTTCTGTGCTTCCATCAACGAAGCATATCGAATACTGTCAGAGCTGGAATGATCTTATGTCTCTGGATCTCATACCGTTGCTAATATACAAAGAATTATAAATCTTCCGCCAAGCCTTTTTCTAGAAAACTCCTAACTCCGACGCACCAATCAAATGCCATTTCAAAGTCTAGCGCCAACATTAACGTGGAAGCTAAGAGGCGACAATTTATTTGTACACAGCTGGCATTTCGTATGGTCTTAGCTCAGTCCCAGACTCATACGCTTCGCTGGTTTCTCACATCTAAAATAAGTTGCAGATAGTCATTGGAAAATTGATTTCTATCAGAACCTTTCCAACCCAATGTTTATACAGTAACAGCTTCTAGTTTCTTTACTCTAAAAACTTCTTCCTGTAAAAAAAATATGTCTCTCTTCCAGAACGCATACCAACCGCATCGAATATAACATTCTCGGCATTGGAATCACTGTACCTCGAACGAGGTTGGCCCGTAATTGTAACCGACTCACAACAGCCACGCACACTTCAAACGATACTCGATGAAATGTACAGAGCAGGAGGTGATTTTCTAGAAAGCGAACCCTGTGATGTCGCCACCAATTTGATGCTGAAAAAGATCTTCAATCTGGAGTTGGCTTTAGCGAAGATTAAGGATACTACAGCAGCGAACAGTAAGTGGTTCTTGCAATTGCGTAATTGCCAGAGGCATGCGGTCAAAGCATCACGACGTTTCGTCACACGCCCTTACTACTACCCGCTACACCTCGAGCCCTTCTACTCCAGCTGGGTGTTAATGGCACAAAATTATGCCAACGAAGCGCTGCGTGAAATCTATCTACAAGGTTTGATATTCGTGCAACAGTTAAGTGGCTACTTTGATATGCGTCTACGCCCAAAGCAACCATGTCTGGGTCCCTGTCCGGTGGTGAATATACGCTTGAGCGCTGGCGAATGTTTGATTTTCTCAACGGACTTGTGGACTTTCAGCTATGGCAATGAAGTGCTGGAGAGTAAAGTGGCTTCGGTGGCAACAGTGTTGGAAATCGATTGGCAGTTGTAATTTGTGGATCTTAAAAATAAATGCTATTAACCGTTATTTGTACTTATTTATTTAGCTGTTCTGTGTTAAAAAATAATAGCATAAATAAAAATTAAATTCACATTCCCAAACATCAACTTAAAGGTAACGAATTTGGCGCTCTTCAAACAATCTGCGTCTTGCGATTCTTCGTTTCCACCAGTTTCTGCAGCGTCGCCGTCAAACTGTTGATGGCATCGATCTTCAGCCGCTCGATTTTCTCCTGCTGCACCAGCGACATCTTTTGGAATTGGATTTGCTCGCGATGCAAGTCCTTCTGGCACTGGATTTTCTCACGCTCCACTTCGAGCTTGCGTTCGAAATAGTCCTTCCACCACAAGCCATCCTCCTGCGCCGCATTCACAACGGAGGGAAACTCAATGTTGTCACATTTATTGCCGCCTTGCTCGAAACCATTCGCATGCGAGATCTGCAGCGGCAGTTCGGCCTCACTGAATTCCAATTTCGGTTGTTTCAACTCGCTGATTTCGGTCGAATCCTCGTCGAACTCATCATTCGATTTATCCATATGCACGTCGGCTGTGTTGGCGTGCACCGAGTGTTGATTTCCATTATTACTGCCATACTGCGCCATTATCTCATTCGAGAGTGCGGCCGCTTGTTTAATTTCTCGAAATACCGCCGTCTGTTGTTGTTGCTGTGGCGGCGGTGGTTGTTGTTGCTGCTGCTGTTGTGGCATACTCGTTTTGGTATATGGCGTTGATTGCATTTTGAAATCGTACATATCGAATTTTTTGTCCTTCAAATATTTATGCATCTCCTCGAAGAACTCCCAATGCACATAGCCGCTCGTCTGTTTCTTGGGTAAATTCTTGCTGTAGGTTATCAATATGTTATGCCATTTCTTTTGCACCTTCGCTGCGCTGTAGCGAAAGCCCAACTTCTGCAGTTGCCGTGTGCAGTGCAGCCAGAGTGCCGTGCGCTTTTGGCGGCCTTCGGTGAACATGCCCTGCATGGGACCACGTATGTGTATGAGCGCACGTGTGGCTTCGGTGGTCCAAGCGCGCTCGTAGGGACCACGGCCACCGGCTGTGATATTATTTCCATTACTGCTCTCTAGCACCTCCTCCAGCAGCGAGTCATCGTTGAGATCCTCACAGTCTTCGAGATCATCATCACTGATTTGGTAGTAGTCTGAAAGAAAGGAATTTGAATTTGATGAAAAATCGTTCTGCAGAGAGTATCTTATTTCAGTAAAAAGTAGTTGTAGTATTGTAGAATTCGAATAAACTTCTTTGGACATTTCTCTAATAGGAAAAATCTTTTCTTGGAGCTTTATAAAATAATGATGAAATTAAAAAAAAATCCGGATAATTAAAGCTCAGTGGATTCTACTTTGGGAACGTCAGTATCAGCTTTTACTGTTTTTAATATTGCGGGTGTGACAGTCCTAGGACGGGTAAATGTCATGGGAACTTTTGCATATTAGTCACCTCTTAGCACAGGCTTGCCTTACCGCCGAAAAAGTCCTTGAAGCCCTGCTCAGAACCTTGGTTTTGATTGCAGTTAGGACGACTTCCTACCGGTCACTTGCCGCACTTTTCGAGAGAGGTTATAGTATTCTTTAACCACACGTATAATGCTTAGCTCCCATGAGATCTCGGTTTGCGGCAATTATCATCGGATAAGCCTCCCTATATCGTAAATATGTTAGGCTTCTCTAGCGTATTGTTTGAAAGTCTAAAGAGATCTAAGCGTCGAATCTAACCTTGATCAGATATTCACAATACGCCACACTTCAGAGTTGGCCTTTGAGAAAATGAACGGCGCACACCACCTCTTTTTCGATTTTAAAACAGTCTTAGAGAGCTTGAAAAGAGCTGTCTCTACGCTGGTGTGAGCGAGTTTTTTTTTTTTTTGCTGTGCTGTTGCTGTTGGTTCTGCTTTCTCAAGACTGGACAATGAAGCGAAGCGGGGAGTGTGATTGTTTATAAGGGCAGCGGACTCTCGTCTACGAACTAACAGACTTGAAAGCAAGACTTGACGCACGTGAAAGGGAACTAACTTCATTGCTCTGGATATTTTCGTTTATTTTCCAACCAAAGCTTCCACTTAGGGCTCTTTGGCAGTAATTTAGCAATATTTCCTGCCAGGCGGCAATAAGATTTTATACCTTAGCTTTGGATAGCTAACGGCTTTATACTTTTCTTTATGAAAAAATATTAAATCGGTTACATATTTTTTATGGAAAAATATTTTGAATGCAAAAATTTGTTTCCCAATTGTCTATAAATTATTATTTATTATTAGTATAAAGAAAATTTTCCGACAAAAGAAAAAGTTGTGGCAACAGTGTTTCCAATATAAAAAACCCAAACCCAAACCTAAACAGAATCCTGATTCAACGGATTGTACTAAAACTAGATGTTCTAGAGGTTTTTGAGTGTAAAATTTAAGAAAAATGCTTATTCTTTAAGTACAAAAAAAACACTGAAGACCATTTCGATTTGTGGTATGATTTCGATTTATTTTCCAACAATTTGGGGACTCCAAAGTGCGAAAGTTCGACTCTTCGAACGCGGTTTAGTTAATGTTTAAACCGATAATACTGCGACTCATGTCAAACACTGCTACGCCCTCGGCTAATCCGGCTTTATCTTAACAGAGAAGGGTTTGTCTTAACAGACTGGTGAGATCGTGATAATAAATATATCCACAAACACCACCTTTTTTTATGTAACTGAATCAGTCGAATATCTAGTATATTCGGCAAATTTCAAACTCCTGGCAAATAATAAATAAAAAAAAATTACCAAAAACTTATCTGAACACAGGTAAACCTGATTTATTTACAACCAAGTGGTGAAAATATTTACACTGCTCACTATTCACCATACAAAACATAATTCACCGATTCGGAATAGCCTCGGCGCGCTCACAGCAACAGATCTAACAACACTTTCACACCAACATTCGCTCGCCAAATACTCTTTATTAACCAAAAGGGGCACGCGATGAATGAAAACGAATGAAGAGAATGAAAAGGTAGCGCAAAAATAAAAACCAAAACATGTTTATGTATTTAATTGTGCCACAGTTACCCCTTCGTTTACGCAGTAAGTACCAAATTCGCTACTCACGAGCGTTGTTACAGTATGTGTATCGTATTGTCTACAAACTGTACCCATTGGAAATAAAAGTGTATGTACTCATTAATGTATAAAAATGTATTTATTTTAAAACTTTTTGTTTTGTTATGCACAAACGTTTGAACACCCGTCGTTTTTGTAGCTGCAAAGCTCTTTTCAAAAATGCCTCTGAAGGCGCGGCTCCCTTTCCAATTGCATCTGCAATAATTAACAAAAAAAAAAAAAAAATTATAATTAAAAGCGTTGCAGTTATTAACAAAATTTTCAATTAGCTCACCAATTAGTGTCTCATAGAAGGCGGTATATTTTCTCAAACTCTCCTTCCCCTGCACACCGTCAACATTCACCTGCATCGTCTAGAACATTTTTTAAATTTTTGCATATTCCCTCCGTGCCTATGTTAATTTGTATTGCTGATATCTGTAAAAAAATACAGATGTAAACCACATTATATCACTGTTTTCATGAATTTACTCAAATACATATATATGCTTGTATATATCATACATATGAGTTTCTATTTGAAACAGTAATTTTTCAATTAACCGCCTCTAGGCCTTTCAATGTTTTAATTGGAAAAACCATTAGGGCATCATTGATTTGCTTTGGTTCCCTGCTGACATTACTGTCTAATGTCGCCTTCTGCTCGTCTATGGCCTCGGCCAGATAAGCAAGCTGCTTGTGGGTGATGTTATTTTCAACTGAAAATTAAGAATATTTTATTAAATGTAAATTAATTAAACATTTCTACATATATAGATACAGTAGTGTCCGTTTAATTGTACCACGCTTAATTGAATTGCTCGCAGAATTGAGTAAAAAATTGCATTGAAAACGTCTTGTATAAAATATATGTATGTATCTTGTATAATTCCACCAATAACTCTGATTTTTAGCTGGCTCAATTAAGCATGAAATACTGTATATAAAAAATAAAAAAAATAAATAAAAATCTTCAACTTCATTATACCTTTTTGCTGGTCAATTTTGGATTGTATCCTGTCAACTTTTTCCAAAATTACATTCAGTGCTTTTTTCATGTCTCTCAACATGGCTGAACAGCTACAATTCGGTAGATCGTGCTCTGGTATAAATATAGAATTCATACATACATTTTGCGTAGAGAGTGACTACTGTACATATGTACATACATATAAAACAAAATTAAACTACTTACCGCACATACTAAAGTCCATTGTTTTTTTTTTTAGTTTTTTTTCGGTACACCGGACATTTTCGAAATTCGTAAATATTGTGCTCAAATATAAAGATTTAAATTTAGTTTATATGATCGATAATAATATTGCATATGTATGTATAAGCGAATAATAAGGCAACAACAACAAATCATTGCTTTAAGAAATGCCGACGGCCTTGCATTGAAAATCCTTTAGTAAAAAAAAATTCATCTAGATTCTTAAATCTTTTACCAACTAAACGAGGTGTGTTCAAAAAGTATCGCGAATTTTCAATTTTCACGGGTTACGTATAATCGAATTTCGATTTTTTTATGGCGTTATGTTGGTACTCATGTCTGTCACTGATGCCGACAAGCTCAGCCATTTTGAATGTTCACTTAATTATTGATTTTTACCTATTAAAAAAAAAATGGATCAAAGATCCTTTATCAAATTATGTGTGAAAAACGAAATGAAGTACGCGGATGCTTTCCGAATGTTGGCTGTGGCATACGGAGAAGCTACCTTCGACCGAAGAAACGTTTATCGGTGGTACAAAATGTTTTCTGAAGGCCGAGAAGATGTGAACGACGAAGAGTGTGCCGGACGCCCGAGCACTTCAACAACAGACCAAAAAATTAATTGCAGGGGCGTGGTGCATCTTGAGTTCTTGCCACATGGTAGAACGGTCAATAAGGAATATTACCTGCGAGTTATGCGCAATTTGCGCGAAGCGATCCGCCAGAAACGCTGGAATTTGTGGAAGAATAATAATTGGCTTTTGCACCACGATAACGACCCTGCTCACATATCGTTGCTTGTGCGCGACAAAAACAACACACTAATGATGCCACAAGCTACCGTATTCTCCAGATCTGGCCCCCTGTGACTCTTTCTTGTTCCCTAAACTGAAGAGGCCTATGAAAGGACGACGTTACGCTATGATTGACGAGATAAAGAAGGCATCGAAGGAGGAGCTGAACAAGATAAAAAAATAATTTTTTGAAGTGCTTCGAAGATTGGAAAAACCGTTGCCACAAGAGTATAATATCTCATGGGGATTACTTTGAAGGGGACAATGAATAAGTAATTAATTTTTGAAAAAACACAAAATTCGCGATATTTTTTGAACACACCTCGTAGTTCCACCCTTATCTTCAGTAAAGCAACATTTATAATATTCGGCTTAACTTTTGGAATATATTTTTCAAATTGTATTATTAATTAAATCTGTAACGCGGTTGGACACAGGCTTATTTGGCATACGAGCGATTTGAATGGAGTTTTTTTTTTTGTGGCAATTAAGTAATGAGACTGATTCCTTAAAAACCGTATATTTCAAAATTCGTCTACAACTCTGCCATCTTCTTCAAAGTAGTGCCCTTGGGCAGCTATACAACGATTCCAGCGCAATTTTTAGCTTCTGGAAGGCTTCGAACGGGATGTCCGCGAATACCCAACGTCACTGTCGCCTGGATGTCCTGAATCGACACAAAATGTTTTAGGGAACTAAAAAAGGCAATCCCTTTAGAGGCCAAATACTGGGACACGCTGAGGGCGGTGTTGCACGGCGCATTGTCGTGATGAAGGATCCAGTTACGAGCGATGTCTGGGCGCACCCTGTTCACTCGGTTTAGCAATCTTTCGAATACTTGGCGATAGTAGACTTGATTCACGGTTTGCCCTGGTGGAAGAAATTCTTTGTGGACAATTTCATGGCTATCAAAAAAGGCTATAATGATCTTTTTCGACTTTTCTTCGACTTGCTCATGCGGGCTTTTCATGCTTTCACACCCCTCCTTAAACTCTTTATGTCATTGAAAAAAATTTGTGAACTTCATTTTAATTTTCTATATTATTGCTGCTATTTTTTTTTTTTTTTTTTTTTTTTTTTTTGAGAGCTTCCACTGAATGGAATAATGCTTTTGAACGTATTTTTAAATAAGCAACCGTTATTTCGGCAAAAAAATTGTTACTTACTGAGACGGCAAGGGTATGGAAAAAAATTTGGAAACATTGCCACAGCATTGAATAATAAAATTAAATTCCTAAAATGTTGCTATTATTTTGACAGCAACTGTACATTCTGCTGCAATGCGTTGAAGTTCAAATCGAGCTTTCCTTCGTTCGATTATTTTTTCGAATATTCTTACATTTTTTTTTATAAACGTTTAACTTTGATATTTAAGTAATACATTATAAATATTTTGGCACTTTTTAACCGCACTTGAAAACCGTGTTACCGATCCCCCCTGCGGGTTAGGGGTTCAAAAATTTAGCCGCGGTAAGGCATGTCTGTCATAAAAGGCAACTAAAATCCAATAGTTCCCACGACAGTCAGGTCTTTACGCCTTAACGACACAGATTTTTATCCGGCCAAGGACTGTCACTTCCGCAACATTCCCCAAAAACTACTTTGGGGAATATTTTTACGGTTACAACAACAACGCCCGTGTTACCGATTGAATTGAAAATATTACGACAAACACAAAAAAATTTAAATAAAACGGTTAACGGGACTTATTTATTTGTGTAATTTTTACTCGCGACAATAGAATACATATGCACAAAAACAATAGCAAAAAATTTGACTATGCGGCGATTTCTCACTCTTCTATCTTCGCTCTTTTCGATATTAGTTCAGCTCGGCGACTAAAGAGAGAGAGAGAGAGAGAGATCGCAATTTTGACGTTTAGTTTGGAGAGAGTTTCAAATTCTCTACTGCTGGGAAAATTTCAGCCAATAAAAACTAGCAAGTGTGAAAAACAGCTGATTTGTGATCATTAAATCAAATTTATTTAAAATAAAAATAACATTAATTCATTATTATGTACGATAAACTAACACAAATGTAGTTTTTGCTTAAATTAATTTAAAAATTAATTAATTTAAAAATTAATTCAATTAGTTAAATGGAAATGTAATGACAGTGGAGTGGAATAATCGCCCGCACAACGCCTAGACTATGTTGAGGAATCGACGACGATGTACAAAATTATTTTATTTGAACAAAATCTAAACTTTATGATAATGTTTATAACGATTTTCGGAACGAAATAAAGACTTAGCTCTCTCTGTTGTCGTAAGCTCCTCAAAAAAACGCTAACTAAGCGACGAATATTTTTAAGATGTTAGCGATATCGACAAAATATTGAAATAAAGTAAAGCAAATCGGGAAATTCCGGAAGTTGAATATCGTTTCCACTTGAATGCAACTGAGTTTTATGACAGCCACCTAAAGGACAGAAAATAACAGCAAATCTACGGATGTGTAAAGGTTCTAGCCGCCTTGCGATTCTTTGCAACTGGATGCAATCAACGTTCCGTCGGAGAGCAATAGGGAATACCCATAAGCGAAGCGCGTGAGCGAAGATTAGATTTCCCATTACGTCGCCATTTGCTGGAGAAAATATTGGGGCTGCCGATTGCCAAGAGGCCTAACCTTCATGAATACCATTCTACCAACGAGCAAATGGTGAGAGTGAATTTTTTTCAATTACTATTGAAGTAACAAAGTTCATTATATTTGTAAACAGATATGTGATCCCTATCCAAGATAATAGCGACAAAATTCGGAACTGTGCGATCCGACAAATTGTGTCGGTAAAAGTTACCATTAGTTAGTGGAGTAGCTACTTATGGACAAGTTGTCAATCGCAACTAGGCGAACTAGACTTGACTACAGAGCGTACCTTTGACTTTGGTTGTTCCGCAAAACTTATGTATACGGCTTTGCAAAATCTTCACCAAAACAATATCAAACACTCTGTCAGAATTGTAAGGATCACACCGAGACAGGATTTCAGATTGAGTAACTTGTTACGAGCGACTTCTTCATCCTAACGCGCTGTAAAACTAAATGGAGTAGCTATAGTCTAATCTAGGTAAAAGAGCTCAGTCGTGTTTTTCAATGATATTAATATCATATTCTCAGCAACCGATACATCGGTTCTGTTTTCTCCAGACTGAACAAATGAGCGAAGCGGTAGAGTTTGGTAGTGAGCGATGCAAAAGAGACTTCTTCGAAAGGTCAAGCGGGAGAGTTAACGAAAAGCTGTAAGCGTTCCTCAAACGCTAATTCCCCCATTAAATCTCGATCTCTTAAAGAATCCTCATTCTTTTCAGTCATAACCCCGCAGCTCCAAGCAGGGCTTATTATTTTCCAACCAGAGTTGCCACATAGGGCTATTTAGCAGTAATTTAGCAGTATTTCTTGCCAGGCGCCAATAAGATTCTAAAACCAACGGCTTTATACTTTTCTTTATGAAAAAATATTAAATCGGCTGATTATTTTTTATGGAAATTTATTTCAAAAGAAAAATTTGTTTCCCAACTGTTTCTAAATTGTTGTTTATTATTAGTATGAGAAAGGTAAGTGTGTTGAGAATATTGAACCATTAAATTTATTTAAAATTTTTCCAACTCATTTATTTCAGCGCCATGTTGGAACAATTTTGTGGCTAAATACGCGCTTCGGACGAGCTACTCAAAAGAAAAGCAACACTGTTTTCAACCAACAAAACCCAAACCCAAAGAGAACCCTGACTCTACGGGTTATACCAAATTTAGATACTCTAGAGGTTTTCAAAGGAAAAAGGAATGGCGCAGTGTTGTTAAATCGGCTATAATCGCGTAAGCGGTGTCTACGCCAGTAAAGTAAGTAAGGCAGAGATTTGTGAGAGCAAGATTTAAGAAAACATGCTTATTCTTAAAGTACAAAAAACCAGCAAAGTCCTTTTCGACTTGTACTATGATTTCGGTTTATTATCGAACAATTTGGGGACTCTAAAGTTATAAGACTCTTCAAACGCGGTTTAGTTAATGTTTGAACCCATAACAGTGCGGCTCATGTCAAACACTGCTACGCCCTCGGCTAATCCGGCTTTAATACATGAAGGGTTTGTCTTAACAGACTGGTGAGATCGTGATAATAAATATATCCACAGTCACAACCTTGCTTATGTAACTGAATCAGTCGAATATCTAGTATATTCGGCAAATTTCAATCTCCTGGCAAATAATAAATGAAAAAATATTAACAAAAACTTATCTGAACACAGGTAAACTTAATTTATTTACAACCAAGTGGTGAAAATATTTACACTGCTCACTATTCACCATACAAAAACATAATTCACCAATTCGGAATAGCCTTGGCGCGCTCACAGCATCAGCAGTGCAATTCTGTAATTTTTATCGACACGATTTGTCGGATCGCAAAGTTGCGAATTTTGTCGCTTGCGCTAACGATTATGTGATTCTCTAACGNTTATAACGATCCGAAAATCGTTATAATACGATAGAGAATTGCCCTGCAGATCTAACAACACTTTCACACCAACATTCGCTCGCCAAATACTCTTTATTAACCAAAAGGTTCACGCGATGAATGAAATAATAAAGGGAATGGAAAGTGAACGTAAAGACGGCAACCAAAACACGTTTATGTATGTATGTAAGTGTCACACAGTTACTGATTTCTTACTTGCTTGTTTACGTCCTTGCAAACAGTACACAAACAACACAATGCATTTTATTATTGTATGAAATGTACACACATACGTATGTATGTTTAGTTACATACATACAGCTTAAGTTCACTATAGTTATACTCACACACACTTCTATCGGTGATAAACGCACTTCACAAGCTAGCAACTAACGCAACGCACGAAAGAAGCTAGATTCCAAGGACAGCGAAAAATTATAGCAACAACTCGTTAGAATACAGAAAATCTGTGACGCAAGCAGCAAATCGCAGAAAAGCACAAACTAACGAACATACATACGTCTGTGGTTATACATAAGTATTTTCGAACAATATTGAAAATTCAATTATTTTCTCGTTCTACTTACTGTCATCATTCTCCAAAGAATGCGTCGTAGATCCAGCTTTTTGAGACATATTCCCAGACTGCACGACTACACGACTTCACTTCTATCCTTTTTCTTTCCTTCGAATTATGCCAAAGTTTTTAAGTTGCAATAATTTTCCCTCATTCAGTTTAGGTTTTTTCTCTATATCCTTAACTCCGTTATTCCTTAGCACCAGATCTTTTGCGCAGCGATAGTTTCCAATAACTAATTTCATCATTTCGCAAGCGACCTAGCGATGCTGTGAAAGAAAAATCCTTGCGAACACACAGCTTCGTTGAGCTCATTTCCAATGTGATTTACCGTCTGCTACTGTGTCTACTATTGTCGCTCTCATCGTTAGATCTGCTCTCACTATGCTCGCAAGCTGGCTTGTTGTTTTGGGTCTGTAAGCGCTGACGGGGAGGCGCACGTCGTTGTCTGCTTACTTGGCTGGGTTAGACGACAGGATGGCTGGCAGACTGATGGGTTCATAGAAGGGAGGCATGTATAAATGTACGTAGTATGCACATACATACATAAATAGGTATGTAAGTACTATGTTCAACGATTCGGTTCGGCTATACTGACTACGTTCGTATTAGCATCAGCCAGCAGGCATTTCGTTAATCTAGCTAGCGCTCATCCACAAGGCGATAGGCGAATGCTGCTTGCTGAGAGGGCTAAGTACATCGTAAAAAAATATGTATGTGTGAAAATATAAGTGATTTTTGTTCCGCAAAACTGACATTTCCTAAACTACCCCATTAACGGAGCGTACATATATACATATGTATGTAAGTCTATTTGTATATTCGCAGGATACTGTAGAAGCAGCTATTTTGTCTAATAGAATTGTATGTAGATATATATGTACATATGTACAAAATACAAAAATAGAAAGTTCAACAAGCACCAAAACCTTAAAAAAATTGGTTTGTTGTGAATACAAGGAAAAGATGGGAGCGGAAAATAATAAATTAATAACTGAATGGACTTTGAAGTTTGTAAACTAGATAATCTTCTAATATACATATATAACGCATAAACACTCAAATCCAAAAACGAGAAACGCATATATTTAATTTTCCTTTAAACGAAATTAATTAAACAACAGCCTCAATGTAGGCTATGTTTTCGATGTTTATTTTTGAAATCATATTAATTCAACAACAGCCTGAATGTAGGCTACGTTTTCTATATTTATTATTCAATTCGTTAACAATGTATTAAAATTATTGCCCACATTTAGGCGCATAATAGCTATTTGGTCAACTAGAATTATTTGTGAAAGCAGATTAAATGAATTCAACGCAATGCTGCCAGATTTCTCGCTCTGATGTATTCTGGCCGCAGTGCTAACGTAGGCGAAAAATTTTTTAAAATTTATAGCTCACTACATTCATCACATTAGCCAAATTTATACTAATATTTAAAATAAAGTGATATAGCCTTTTGCTGCACTTAGCCAACGAACAAAAATCTTATCGTCGTCCGGCAATAAATATTACGCAATCGAATTTTATAAGCTCTATCTGGCAGTACTTATTCAAACAGCCTAAATATAGGCAATACTTTTCATTTTTGTTACAAAAGCGCTAAACAGTGTGTCAGGGAATGAAATTGTTGCATACATTTGGGCGCATAATTATTATTTGAGGAATGCTTCCTTTACCTTCATTAATAAAAATGATTATTTTATTCTGGGCAGAAGTCGAATACATGATTGCCAGCTTAATAGCACTCATTGCCACGCACTCGCCTCGAAGCCTACTTTAAACTAATCATGTGTTATTATTAAGTGCCGCAGCATAAAAGGGTTAAGTCTCCGTCTATGTGCTACTACAATCGTTCCCAACACTTCAAATCTACTACAATCACACCTAGACCTCGCCAGCTGTTTTTGACAATTTAATCCAAATCGTTTTAGAAATATTTGGCGGTTGAGCAATGCAAAGAATTTCATTTTAGCAGTTAATTTATAAATTATAAGTAAAATTATAACTAAATCACTTCAAAAGAGTCGAAAACATTATAGCTGTGAAGAATGAGTGCGAACGGCAGTGTAATGTGAGTATAATCTTAGAAAATGTATGCGAAAATAATTAATAATCTATTACACCAACCTACACACCAGTACTGATTGGAAGCGGCTGTGGCAGCTTGTGTCCGGCATACATCATGAGACACCGGAGAGCACAGTGCGCGAGGAATTGTTAAATGTATCGAAAGAGTTACAAGACGGTGTACTGCAATTCCGTAAACGTAAAGCATCTAATGTGAAATTAGAAGATTTGCTGAAGGAGAAGAAGCAACAGAAGCTATTGCCGTTTACGCAGAATTTGCAAGAGTTATTGGTATGTTTTTTAATAAATATATTTTAGATTATTATAATTACATCTGCTACTTGTATTTTACAGGACCTTGAATCGCAGCAATGTTGGGAGATTCTCTGTTACTACCTCACCAATGAATATCGTGGTTCTGCCAGCTCACTCGCCGCACATATATCTTCGGAGAGTAACATGAGTAAACTGCTGGATGACATATGGGGTTATTATACGCTCGAACGCATGATTGTATTGAAAATTGTTAAAAATTTGTTACTCTTCTACAAAATACCCAACCATCCATATCATGAGCAATACAAAGAGATTTTAAACAAAATTACACTGCCAAAACTACGTGATTCTTACCTAAATCAATTGGAGCAACTCATCAATGAATACCCACCAAATCAGCTCGCCAATGGCGAATTTTTCGACTATCATACGCGTCTAGTAGTGTGGTCAGAAGGCAATGCGCGTGAAATCAACGAAGTGTTGCACATTTTGCTGCTAATATGCGAACATTTGCCATTCGAACTAAAACATATAGAAAAACTATTCAATTGCTTTCGCCAACACACATTTGGACGACAGCAAAGTTATTTGGATATGTCCAAACCTTTGCATAATGAGCTAATGACACGCTTAGCTTATTCGGAGACTATGTTGCTTCTGAAATGTATCGATTTGAGTGACACGGCAACAAATTTAGCACGAAATATAATCGACGCTTTGGATAAGGACATAACACGCATGTACTATAACCCAGAGAATGGTCCACTACTTTTGGGTTGGATGCTACTGAAAGTGCGTTTCACTAAAGCCATTGAGGATCCAGAAACTTTTCTGCCATGCCAACTGTTGGGCAAGCGCGCGATTGATTTGCGTTGTTTCGAGTATTTGCATAATTTACTAACGAGTTCAATGTTTAAGGTGTGCATAAGTGTTCTAGTATAAGCGAATTGTTTAAAAAAACTTTTTTATTGTTTATTAAATTGAAATCTTAGGACGATAGCCTGGTGAGCCGCATTGTACGCAAAACAGTTTATAATATGCTCACGCAGATGTGCAATTTTTTCGATGCTGATGGCTCGTGTGCACGACATCCCTACATATATAAGTTATTGAGTGAGCTACTTTCGTGGCCAACGTTGGCGAAGGAGTTTTGTGCAGATGAAGGCAAGTGTAAAAGAAAGCGTGTCAACAGAATGTGTTTTAAACGTTTATTTTATTGCAGAAAAGGGCGTACGTTCGCTTTTTAACACACTTTTGGAGACTTTTCCCGTCGATTTTGTGCATCTCTCTAATTTAGCTGATGCTCTAACAAAAGCGGGCATGACAAATTTTGTATGTGTTTAATATTAAGAGCTTCAATAGTATTTACCTTTCAACTTACCTTTTTAACACCTTAGATTAAATCTCAGCTTGAAACTCTACCTATATACACTGATTTGTATGATGAATGCAAATATCCTTTGCGTGCCATCAACGAGGAGGACTACATACTCACAGCCGACGTACAGCCTTTCGCACATTTGGATTTCATTATACCAGCCAGGTCCACAGCGGTCATTATGTCGCGCCCTGAAGGTTATTGCGTGCATTTTCGTACATCCCTAAACTATTTCGTTGTCTTGCATCATGAAATCAACTGTCTGTTGGCGGAGACAGTGCAAAATCAGGGCGATTGGTCGCAAAATGAACGCGTAAAACGCATCAATGCCGGCCTACAGTACCTGCAAAGTGTATTGCAACGCAGTAAATCGTTGAATGAAATCACCGCTGAAATGGTGCATCCCACCGAAATGTGTATTGATTTGTTGAATAAGTTTAAAGCAGTGCCACAACCGCCAGTTGAGATGTTGGCCAATTGTTTGAATGTTTGCACAATGCTTTTACCGCTGGTCGATGCTGAGATTTACGCACGCGTTATACACTTGCACATACTGCCCGCTATTACAAATGAAACGCTCGATAACTACGAAGATTATGCCTCGGGCATCTGTTTTGATTCGCGTATTGTTGGCACTTATTTGGTGGATGTCGAGAAGAAATTGGAACGCTATGATTTCCTAAATGCCTACCTAGGCTTTCTACGCACTTACACAAAGGTAATTTTCGCCATTAACTCAAAAATGAAATGTAATTATAATTTTTATTTAATAAAAAAAAATCATTATACCAAAGCTGCAACGCAAAAATTTCTTCAAAATTGAGATACCGGGACTGATATTTTTGCTGCGCGAGGTTTTCCCACACATGCATGCTTGGGGCTTTCAAAGTGAAACGGAGCGGCACAAAATATATACCGAAATTATGGGTTTCGTGTGCGATATTTTAGACACGGTCACTAGCTTGTGCGATAAAAACGAGCCAATAAATACAGAGAAACAATTTTTGCGCGATATATGCATATACAGCTTGTCGAATATGGAAAATGGCATGGTACTGTTGCGGTAAGTTATTTTATGACACACTCAAAAGCACTCAATAAACTCATTAAAATTACAAATTTCGACAGTTTTGTCGCCTTAGGCAATGCCTATCTGCAGCACACCATGGAAATGGAGTCGAATTGGATGATACAACAATCGCATGGCATTGTGTTGCTTGTGCGTCTAGCAATGCGCATACTCATGCAGCTCTTGCGGCTCAAAACTACTACCCAAAACACCACCGAATTGTCGCCGCTCGAGGCGCTTATCTACACGCAGCCAAAACAACGCGATACACTACGCATTATACCAGTTGTAACCAGTTATATGAGCAATATTTTCGACCGCTGGTTGCCCATACTGTCGTGTCGTCTTTTGCGTCGCATAGCGCTGGAATTTAATATGTCGCTGTTGGCCTGTCTCGATATGGAACCCGATCAGATACGTCTTACATTCTTACAACGTCTGCCCGATGAGCTGGAAAGCGATTCGCTAAAGATTGCCATACTTGAGTTGGTTGAAGCTTGCATAGAAAAGCAGCCGGGCGTCACTGAGGCTTTTTTCAAAGTGATTGCCGCACAGGAGAAGCGCTTTTTAGGCAAAGAAGTTGGCGTACAAATTGCTGATAGTATATTGACTTTCCTTGAAGATTATCTAGAGGCGGTCGCGAAGGATCCAAAAACTGTGGAGCATACATTGCCCAGTAAAATAATGAATATCTTTCATTCGCTGTGGAAGAACGGCATGCAAAGTTTGGTGGAAGATCTTACTAAGCGCCCGAAATTTTGGTCACAACTGTGTAATCCGCTCTTCAGTACTCTGGGCGAAAATGCGCGCGTCTACACACAACTACTCAACATACTCTCCATAGAAATATTCTCCACGCCGGCGAATGGTAATAGTGAGCTGAAGGACGTGGTTTTATGTTTCTTTGAGGCGGCGAATTTCGAAAAATGGCTCAACTATGTATTTAATATGCCAAAAACACCAGCGGCGGATCCTTATCGCGCTGTTGAGCTCTTCACCGAAGATGTGCCGGAGTGGCTCTGCCGTTTGGCGGCATTCAAGAGTTTCCTTATTATTTTACTGAAAAAGCAGCCGCATTTTGTTGAAGTTCCCACAAAACAATTGAAAAAGCTGGCAGAACAAACGCTTGTAACGCTTGTGGATCGCGCAGAATTCATCGAAGATTTGCGTCCATTCATTGTGCTAAGTGAATTGTATCTCTTTGTGCTGCTCAGCTTCAAACTGTCGTATACAGACTCGCCTCAGGAGGATACCGAAATGTTAAAGCAGGTGCTTAAACTGCTGAGTCGCCTCTCCTCGTGCTATGAGGATTTACATGTGCGCGCCAAGGAGGCATGTCTAGCCTTCACCATCAAATGCGCCGACCTACTGGCTGCTGAGTTATTGAATGACTCTGACTCGGCGCTGAATTTCCTCTACTCTGTGGTGAGCATCATCTGCACGGAGCTGCAAACGTTGGAGAATAGCGCGCGTGTTGAGAAGCAGTCGAAGCAGGAACTTGAGAATCTACAACAAACCTCATCCAATTCACTGGTGTTGAGTTTTAATCTACTCAAAACTGTTGCAAGCATATTTCACGATGCCGGTCCGGGTAACTGGGATCTGCCGTTCATTGTGAATAAAGTCTTTCAACGCCTACTCAGTTGCGCGCGTTCCATACTCCAGCTTTACAGCAAACAAAATCTTACCGTTGAATTGTTGGACGTCTTGATTGTCTTCGCCAAGGGCAATTGCTCAGCCGAGTTTCTTCACTGCGATGTTGGTGATTATTTGTGGTTGAAATTGTTACCGCCAAAGGATTTGCTACAAACCAATTTCGCTGCACTCGGCCAAGCACAAAGCGATGAAAGCAATTGGACGGTGCAGAAGTGGTGGCCCATTTATACGCGTGGCATCACTTTGGTCACAATCCTATTCGAGAAACACCGGCATTACTTTGTGAAACACGCCTTGCAGTTTGTCGGTATTCACGAGGAGTACTTGGTGGACTCATTACTCTTGGCCAAACAGACCTTGGAACCGAAAGCGATGGAGTTGATTAAAAGCACCACCACGCTAGTATCGCATTTGGTGGAATTTGAGACACTTTGGCGGTTGGAGCACTCGCAGTCGTTATTTAATTTGATGGTGAGTGGAAAGGGGGGATATTTTTATTTGAATTTGGGTGAAAGGAGTACTGGCTTTAAAAGAGTTTACAAATGAAAATTTGATAGCCTAAACTAATCTACATTATATTAAATTTTATTTAGCTTCCTTAAAAATAACTTCAAATTCGTGTATAAAAATGTGGCCTACAATTAGGCAATTTTTGATTGTTTATCCAAGACACACACCTAAAAAGGGCGTGGAAGGTTGCGTGATATTTTATAAAGTACTCTTGAAGATTACAAAGTTAGCCCAATATACCAAGCAAGTAATGCGTTCATCAGAATAATAGGACCTAAAAATTTTAAATCGACATCCTTCCGTTACACAAAATCCGTCTGCCGTGAGAACTATTGGTTTTCATCTCTAGAGCTCGATATAAATGTCTCAACTACCATAGCAAGTAAGACACAGAGATGCCACAATATTCTAACATTACTATTTAGTAGGCAAAATAAATAAATTTGGATGAATTGTAGGCAAGACCGCCGGCTCCGAGGAAGAGTGAGTCTCAAGTCTGGTAAAGATCACCCCAATTTTTCCTAAAAAATCTTTCCTAGAATCCTACTCGTATCGGGACTGAGGCAATTTACTACGCGGACCCGGTACATAAACATACATGACACTCTCCGAGCTAGGGGTAAAAGCATGCTTTCTTCGCAAGAGGCGACTAAAATCCAATAGCTCCCGCGCTTATTAGACCTTAAACGCGATACACAGAGAAGCTACCTTAATGCCTCCAAGTTCATCAGTACCGATTGAATAAGCTTGCTGTTGCTAAAACGTCTAGATCCAGCGGAAGCATTTTACTTCACCGGGGTACTAAAATTTGTCTTTTACCACTCTGAAAATACTCGAAACTGGATTGCGTGGTCACACTGCTAAAGCAGGCTAAACCAGCCAACAAGGGAGATTCATATCAGGCCGATAGTTCTCTTTCCTACCGGTAACGACCATACAATTGAGGCCTTGCTGCTCCTATCTTCAACTAATCACCCGAGCCCAGCAGCACATCAGCATGGCTTCCGAAAAGTGCACACCGACCATGCGTCGGAAATTTCGTGGTAGCACTGGATCTTTAAACCATTCCTTGGTACTAGTGGTCGAGGCTAGGTTGAAGAGGTGGCATATGAACTACCTTAGTGGTGGACAATCATTTGTAAGGTTTCAAGGTCAAACTTCCAAACTCGACAAAATTAAACAGGGGCCCTCTGCCCGCTGCTGATTAATTTTCATATTTCGAATCTCCCTCCATCACCAGAGAACGTTTGTTTGAGCGTATTAGCGTCTGGCCAGGATATTGGTAATCAATGTTCAAAACTGAACTGCGATCTCGTCGACCTTTCGCACTTCTTCACTGCACGACAGCTACAACTACAACCATAGACATCCTCTGCTACCCTTTTCACCAAGCGGATGAAGGAGTACCGGCTCGAACTGGATGTGAAAATCGATGATATAAACATTTTCAAGAAGCGACAAGCTTGTCGGAACATCGTCCTGAGAACTGTGACGGGAATCCTGCTGATGTCGCCCTTGCACCACTTGTACACTGAAAGATCTATGTCCCCAGTTAAAAAGCCCGCTCAGTATGCTGCGTAAGTAATAACCCACCGTCGGGTTCATCGCAAGATAAACCTACTGGAGGTTGAATCAATATCTAGCCTTTTCAGAAAGGGAGTACTAGATTTGAAAGACTTCATACCGCTAAATAGAATGGCACCCCGCTCTCAGTACCGTAAGAGGAAACCTGCTGATGTCGCCTGAGCATCACTCATTAACTCGTAGCATAGATGCTTCCCTGTGCACGCAATTTCTGCTGGAATGCTAATGAAACATTTATCAGAGGCAGAACCACCACCCAGGCACATCAGAAAGGGAGTATTTACATTAGGAACTGTATTCAGCAACAACTGGGCGGAGCTACGTATAGACTGGCACTTCACGCCATTCACCACCAAGAGTCATTTAACAAAACCTTCAAGAACACTCTCCCTGTGAATGGCGTCCTCAGAGTCAAACCACTACCCATAGCAGATGAAGAGTTCAAGCTGCCTCCTACGTAATACTGGCGCAGCCTACATCTGGATATTGAGTTAAACTCTTACCCATCCACACTCGATCCCGGCATACCAATCTATGTCTCTCATGTAACTATTAACCGCACGATACTAACCACCTCTTTGCATGTCCCCCCTAAAACCAACTCATCTAACCTCCTCTTCCACGGGACCGAACTTGTGGAAAAGTTCGTTTCCTGGACCTCCTGTTAAACAAATCAGCCGCTCCAACAACAAGAACAATGTCATACTGACAAGCTTTAAAACCAATAATCGGGTGTTTGTCACAACCTTCGTTTACTCACCACCACCCATAGCAGACTAAGCTCTGGAGCTGCCACCAGAGACTCGAGGTACACTGTGTCTCCGCCTGGCATTAGCTTTTTTTGCTTGCCACTTGAAACCAGCTCATTTTACACCCCTCTTCCTTTTGCTCGCACCTATGCGGAAAGCAAATCTCCTGGAACTTAGAGGTCCATAAGCAAGCTTTCGGTACCTGCTACAACAACAACATGATTTTCGCAAAATACGATACAACATTTACACCTGACGATAGCCAGATTTCCTTACACTTTGGTCTAGGAACTTTTACTGCTCTTGCACAACGTATAATGAGATTTGGGTATGGAAGTTGAGTTGAGTCTCAGCATGACACTAATCACCTCTTTACATTCCCCCCTGAAATCGACGCATCTAAGCCTCTCTACCTCTGGTCCGATACCGTCGAAACGGCACATTTTCTCGACCACCCTTTAGATGACCTCGCTAACCATGATTGATTAACCTGTCTCTAAGCGGGGTTAACAAACCTCTACAACAACAACAACATCAACGAGGTGTGGACTCAGTACCACCAACTGGATATATATACTAAAATCATTGTTAATTCGTTCATACGATTTTACATCACTTTTTACTAAAAATATAAATTTGAACTAAATTTTTTTCTTCACTCATCCACAGCGCGCCGTACAAGTACTCATGGGCCACGCGATTTCAATGTTTCATCAACCGAAAAATCTCAAATGTCTCATTGCCGGACGCAACTTGCAGCTGGATATATTAGCAGATATTGAACGACCGGGTTTCACAGACGAAGTGATCAGCGCCTTCAATAAGTGAGTATAGATGCCATCCATTTCTAATGGCCCCCTTATAAGACCTGCCACTCTTTTCCACTGTTAGTCTCACGGAAATCATCACGCTAAGCGTACAGTGCCTGCTGCGTTTCAGTCCCAAACTACTCGACTTGATCTGTGCGCCCGAGTTTTTGGTTAGCAAATGGGAGCCGATGTTCGAAATACATTTTGGCGCGCCCAAAATGAATGAGACTGCCATAACGCTGACGTTCGGCACAGTGCTGAGCATTGTTGGTGTTTTTACGAAAGTGCTGAATTTGGTAAGCGATTGATTGGTAGTTATGGTTATAGACTTTGACAACAAATTCAAATTTTTTCACTTCACAGCAAGGTCATGGTTTCCACGAGGTGCCACTCAATGTGCTACCCTCCACCGCAGGTGATGGTACCAGCACGTCACAAGTGGGTGGCACAACAGCTCTGGCCAGATCCCAACGACAATTCTCTAAATCGGTATCCATAACTTCAGTATCCTCTGCCAATTGTCCACCCAACGAGCTGTTGTCCAATCTAGATGGCGAACTCTGCTTACTCGCACTCGAGCATATACTCATGCTGGCCGCTTCACAGAGTATGCTGGCGCTGAAGAATCCCTATCTGCCTGCGCGCGAAAAGCAAATAGTGCGTCGTGAGATTAGCACCGAGCTGCTAACCTACCACGAATTTGTGCGCAAGAAAGTCTTGATTGATCATCGCGAACACCGTGAGATGTGGTATCGACGCAAGCACGGCATGGTTCATATGGAGGTGGGTAATGACAGTGCTGCAGGTGGCAAGAGTACAACAACCAACAGCGCGGCAACAGCAAAAAGCAGCTCTTCAGCCGCCGCTCAGTCAACTGGACGAAGACATTCTAGCGATTTGCGTGTAAATGTCGTGCGTCGACTTTACCTGCAGCAGGAGCATAATCGGCAAATTCAACAAAGCACACCACAACCAGCTGCCTTCGATATGTCGCGTGTCATAAGTCCTATCGGTGCAGCTGAGCGGGGCCACGGTGCACAACAACAGCAGCAGCCAACGGCGATTTCGTCCACACCGCAACTTTCGCGTCCACCTCTGCGCCGGCAGGGCGAGCCCACGCAGTTGGGCGGTGAAGTTAAGCGCAATTATGGTGGTGACTCGACTGTTGAGCAAGTCGAGGATGATGATGTGGAAGTTGTTGAAGAGATACAATACTTCCCTCCTGAGGAGCCGACCTATACGCCTCTATCCTACGTGCAACTGGTTGAGGAGGACTATTTGCATTTCATGTCCAATCTCTTCACAGTTATATGTCAGAGTGATTAAGGGACTGCAGCAAAGAAGACGGAATATATGCCAGGCACTGTTCTTTCGCCCAAGCAGAATTTATCTATAAGTACTATATTAAGCGTTCTTTTTTTATAATTACTTTGAGAATACAGTTTTCTATTGAGAAAAAATGAACATGTGTTGGAGAGTCGTTGATTTGTGAGACATGATACTGTTTGAAGTTCAGCGTTGCCAACTTGGAAAGTATTTGTCACTAATACGGCATGTTAACCTAAGAAACCCACAAGTTTACCAAAGCTCACCCTGGTCTTCGAACGGGAGGTCCAGGAAGCGAGCTGTTTCGACAGGTTCGGTCCAGTAGGAGAGTGGGATTAAACGAGTTGGTTTTAAGGGGGCATGCAAAAAGGTGGTTAGTATCGTGCGAGGAGTCGATACATGCTAGGCATGCGTTAGGTATGCCGGGTACGAGTCTCGATAGGGTTTAACCTGTTACAATATCCGGGCCTAAGTTGCGCCAGTACTACGTGGGTTTCTCGAGGCGGCTCGAGCTTTTCATTTACTATGGGTGATGAATTGCGTGCGAGGACGCCATTCAGAGGCAGGAAGTCTTGGAAGGTGTTAACTGACTCTTGGTGAATGGCGTTTAGTGCCTATCTGTGCGCCGCCTTATCTTGCTGGATTGTGTTCTTTAAATCTAGTTGACCTTTTCTGATGCGCCCGAGCGGAGGTTCAGCCTTTATTAGATGCCTGCTGGAGTGCTTCCTGCGGTAGCTTAAGTCGTAGTATAAATGCTTCGTTATGCAAGTGAGGCTCAGGCGACATCAGAAGATTTCCTGTCGTGGTTCTAAGTGCGACGTTTTGGCATGCCCTTAGCTTCTTCAACTGCACATCGCTTGTCTCCCCTGTTAACCTGAAAGGGGTTAGATCGCCGAAAGGGTGACAGCCCTTGGCCGGATAAAGTCCGGGTCAACTCCGGTGCATGGAACCGGCTGTCGTGAGAGTTGTTCAGTTAAAGAGCATAATTTTGTGGTGCGTTATCAATATCTACATTATATATCTAAGCACTTAAGAATATAAGTACTCATTTTTAAGGGTTGCATTCAGCTACCGAAGGGTCTTAAATGTCATGCACAGAGAGTTAATTAAGATCTTTGTAAACTCTCTTTGAAGAACTGAGAAACAACCCACCTAGTCAGGTTAGAGTAGCCAGATTAGGTTCATCGTAACACCTGATAAGTTTCAGCACAGGAATACCATGTCCACTAAAAAAAAAAAATCTCAAAAAATCATAATCACTTTCTAATCTATTGCTTCTAGCAGCCGCAGGGAACATGAAAGGCTTTTCCATTTTCCTCATTCCTCCTAAAGCTTCTGCTGTATCCCTTATGAGGTATTTCCAGTCTGGCCTAAAGTAGCTCTCTACATATCTGGGGCCGGCTATATCGTACAGAGATCGACGACAGTTGAGTGGTGAGTTTGTGGGTTTGGCAATACATGTAATTATCGATTGATTCGGCGCCAGTACCTTACACACTCCTTATAACGGCAAAGATATTAGTTTAAATATTTTTTTGGTTTGATTTTTCCATTAAAAAAATAATACAAATTTTATTATATTCATTAAAACAACATCAAAAAATTTTTTCATTAAAAAAATTATTATTATTATATTATAAAAAATATTACATATTTTCATTTAAAAAAAAATAATAAAAATTTTTTTCATAGAAAAAAATGAAAACACTTAACTTTTTTATAAAAGAAAAATTAATAAACCTTTTTCATTAAAGCAAATATTTATACATTTTTTCATTAAAAAAAAAAATTGATTTTTTTTAAGTGTTAACATTTTTTCATTAAAATTAATTGAAAAAATTTTAAAAATTTTTTATTAAAAAAACATAAAAATTGTTTTCATAGAAAAATTTGCCCAAAAATTGTGTAAAAAATTTAAAAAAATTTTGTTTAAAATAAATTGATATAATTTTTTCTTGTAACAAATTGATAAAATTATTTCGTTAAAATACTTCAAAATATTTTTAAACTATTTTCATTAAAATAATTAAAAAAAAATGTTTTTATTACAAAATTATGTAGTTTTTGTCATTAAAAAACATTTTACGTTTGTCCTCTACAAAATAACTATTTATAAAATTTTGTTACTAAAAAATTTATAAGGCTTGTTTATTAAAACAAATATTATTTAATTTCATCGCTAAAAACAAAACTAAGAAGATTTTTTTCATTGAACAAAAAACTTAGAAAGTTTTAAAATAACAAAAATAATAAACATTTTTTATATTCATTAAAACATCAATAAATTTTTTTCATTATAAAAAAATTTATAAAAAAATTTATTTTCATTATAAAAAAAAATTTAAAACATTTTCATTTAAAAAGAAAAAAAAATAAAAAAATTTTCATAGAAAAAATGAAAATATAAGATTTTTTTATAAAAGAAAAATTAATAAAACTTTTTCATTAAAGCAAACATTTATACATATTTCTATTAAAAAAATTTTTTTTTTTTATTTTTTATATTAAAGAAATTATAATATTTTTTCTTGGAAAAAATTGATAAAGTTTTTGCGATAAAAAATGCAAAAAAAATGAAAAACAACAATAAATGAAAGTGGCACACATGTAGCTACCATTTGGCTTGTGCCCTGGGGGCAACCCAAGTTCGAATCCAATTCGAACAGAAGTCTTTGGAAAAGGAAGTCTGATGAGAAAACGTGGTGGTGTCCTAAATAGCAGCTATAACTCCTACCGTTCAAAACTGTTGTTGTAATTTTTTCACTATTTCCCAAAAATATATATGGTCTGAGACGGCTCCTTAAAACTTAAAACCCAAAAAACAATTCAACAGAATAACAAACTGAAAAAGCATCTAAAAAATATTAATTTTTTTTTTTTGAAACGAAAAGAAAAAATTGATAAAAATTTTTCATATAAAGACAAACAAAGATAATAATTTTTCATAAAAAATTAGATAAAAATAAAAATTTATACAATTTTTGCATTTACAAAAATTTCATTAAATTTTCTACGCCTTTGTAGGGTTAAACCTCAACTGATCATCTTTGCCGTCATCAACGTACGCACATTCATTATAGTATTATTGCTCATCATGCAGCGATATGCAAACATGCATGCATACATACTCGTATGTTAAGTATTGTGTGTGTTGGCTCATAAGTATGTGTGTACAAACATATGTACATATGTTTGAATGCGTTTGTGCGCCTTCATACATATTTATTCTCGAATAATCAAATTCTAACGTACACCGGCTTACATGTACACATACATATGAACATATGAACATGATGAATTACTTTTACACTGTACTCCGCGGTTATATATGCAAACACACATACATATGTACATATTTCAATAGGTAAGAAGGTATGACGCGAAGTCATATCGCAGCTGGCCAAATGCTTCTATAGATCTGTGTTTTAAGTTATATACGGACATTTCAAGGTATGTATGTATGTATATATTTACATGCTGACGACAGCACCACTTCACCGTTGGTGACGCTGACGCGTACAAACGAGCCCCCAAAACTGTCGAATGAGCGTTAAGAGTTCGTTGCTGTTGCTATTACTGATGCTCCATACATAGCTGTGGTCAGGGTAGCTCTTGGCAAGCAAAATTTTGAAAATCACGAGTTGATTTATTTACTAATTGGCAAATGTGCTGTGTATGTATGTATGTATATAAATGATATGTGAGAGAAACATTAATCTTATTTAAATATATTCATGTGAGTTCCGGTGAGAGCGGGCATACAGATCTCATTTGCGCTCTAAATGTTGAGGCTAGCGAGATGTTCCGCTCACGAGATGTTGCTGCTGAGCATGAGATTACTAAGCAATCCGAACAAAAAAAAAGTAAAAGTAAATTTCTTAAAATTTAATTTATGTATACCTACATACACACATAGCTATATGTATGTATGTAGCTATGGATTTATTTGCAAAATGAGTTGTTCGAGTTTACCTTAAAATGATTGTGAAATTTTAGCAGTTGACAGCATTGAAATTGCCATGAATCAAAAAATATACTGCAGCGGCGAGCTATTTAATTGAGATTTGAAGAATTCAAAAAATTCTACATTAACGGAAATGTAAGCATATGTACATATGTATGTATGTAAGTATGTATATATACACAAAGTTATTTACAATATAATTAGGAACTTTTATTTATTTTACTTTACTTTAATTAATTTGTTTTTTTTTTGGTATTTTTTTGAAGGACACTGTGAGCACTAACCCGCTGTATATTCTCTTCCAATGCGTCAATCGTCTCGGACTTATCTGCGTAGTTAAGATACTTCACATAACCTCACCAAAAATAGTCCAGCGGTGTTAAATCAAACGATCTTGGAGGCCACGATGCGAGCTAAGCAAAAATTTCCTTTAATAAAAAGATTTCCTTGGTTGTATGGCACGTTGCATCGTCTTGTTAGAACCAGAGGTCGTCCACATCAACATCCTCCAATTTAGGCACAACAACACAGTCATTAATATGACCTTTGACTTTTTTACTTTTGCAGCAAAAATTTTCTTGTGAAAATCGTGTTCGGTGCAAAGGTAAACCTTCCGCGTTTCGTCCTTCTCTGTGCCCGCTCTGCACTCCGTTAGACTCCCCCCCAGTATGTCCACAAGTATAGCAAGTTCTCTTTTATTTGATGCCAGCAAAGTCTGTAGTCTCTCTATAGACCGTGCTGCCGCACAGAAATTCAAGAGTACACAGTCCACTGCAATGGCTCCAGGTCTTTCGTGTGTCTCATTACTTGTTCTGCACATTTGGGTTATTTGTTGAAACGTTTAATAGCACTTGGATTTGGCACCTTTACCAGATTCACAGTCTGTACTTTGAAGATAGAGTTGCAGTTCTTTGTGGTGATGGCAGAAGAGCCCTTCGTACGAGGCCCAGACTATAAGATGGCTGTATCTGAATCTATCAACCAAACTCTCAACGCCTTTGGCAAGTCACTATCGATGTGTGTTTTCACGCTTCCTCTCCTGTTGGCCACAGTTGAGCACTTTAGGGGGATTGCTTCCTTCAGACGGTCTAGTTGCCGACAGTACAGGTTCGAATTAAGAATTTGGCCATTGCGGTGCAGCTCATAGTGAGTGGATGATTTCTTGCCAATGCCAATAAACATACAACAAATCCTTCCTGGCCATCAATCCTGTCTTGGAGACCGTGTTTGGGGGCTCAACCCTCACGAGTGTTTTCGTTTGTCTTTGCCATAAGTGATCAATTTTTTCATGGTAGTCCACTAAGTTTGTTAACCACCCTAATATTTCTGCTTTTTGTCTACATGAATTAATTAGCATTTTACTGCGAATTAGTCAATTCATTTTATTAACGGAGCTTGTTATCTCGCGTATTGGTGTTAATTATTCATGAGAAAAACCATAAGTCGAGTAAAATAGAAAGAAAAATTATAAAAAAATTGGTGTTATTAGGTTAGGCTATTAGCTCCTTATGATACAAACCAGACGCCTAAAAGTATGCAACTGTTTTTTGAACGGTATAAAATCCCATAAATAGCAAATGAAGAGGTACAGCTGTAATGTAAATACTCCTCTGGTTTACTCCGATATATTTAAGCAATAATTACCGTTAAGGATGTTGGGTTGAGTTGGTAAAATTTTTTATTTTTTCGTAAAAAGGCTCCGTGCTTACAACGAGTCCTTGTCTCTCAGTCCAGTGGTTTCTGGTTGATTCCAATGAGGTGACCGTTGAGATCAGTGAGCTATCGTTTGCATTATTTAAAGTTCCTATTCAATGTAAGCACCGCAAGGGTATTCCCTAGTATATCTTTTTGGATTTTTCTATTGCCTCGACTACTTGATGTAGAGTGATATCAAGTATTTACCCTTAATGTACGCAAGCTGCCGGTTTCATACGCGCTCCGAGAGGATGTTTTTTTAGCTTTAAAAGGTTCGTGACTTCTCTTCTGCTATGTGACAAAGCTCCTCGCTCCATTTTGTCCAGTTAACTGGTTTATTGAAAGCTCATGGGGTTATGTTACGCGGAAAGTGAGTATTCAATAGATTGAGTCTTCCAAATTTGAGGGCAAACCAAAAGCGTAGTCTCCAGATAGTTCTTCGATAAAAATTTATTAATAAACCACGAGGGGTGACCGCAATTAAATGGCTATAGCTTTAGATATTCGTCGAGTCAAGACTAGATCCCTGGCCTATCGAATGCAGTATACTACCGAAATGCAGTGAGGTAAACCATATAGCTTTCATCGGTATTAAGGCCTTATGCTTTTTTAACGGTCTTTCAACTATTTCTTTTCAGCTCCGCCCATCAAGGATTATCTAGTGCAGATCGGGCCATGCGCAAAGAACCGGACAGTCAATTAATATCCAATATGAAGCTTAATTCTCTGTGTATGCACTGAGTGAACGATTCAAAGCTGGTTCTGATCTTATTACAATACAACGGTAGCTGTGAACCCTCAAAGGTTATCCCAAAGTCAATGTATTTATGTTTGATCGAAGAATGAAAGCTCCAAGGAGACCTGCTAACCCGACGCAAGGCTTTTATTGCCAATAATTAAATCCAAAACAACATTTCCACGCCCATTTATAAAGGCTGGAGTGCTTGCTACGTAATAAAGGGAAGCTTCTTAGAGTTAACGTACTCGAACACGCCCAAGTACCTTTCGTTACAGTCTAAGCTGCCTCGTGCCAGCTTACATATTTACTTCTTTAAGTTACCTAAAATATTAATGCGCCGTACCGCCTAAAAGTATGCTTTATAAACCTAGGATTTTTTAAATTAACGCTTCTCTGAATAATTAGACAAAAACTTATGTATACAAATTCAGTTTTTTCATACCGACTTGCCGCTCCTGACTTTTTTCCAGTATCCCGATTCCACTTTTGCGCTCTTTTCCGAAGCTTACCTAATTACATACCTACAAATATATGTATGTATATTGGGCGCTCTGCTCAAATGCTATAATCTGATTATGTTTATGCTACAGAGAGCGCATGTAAGTATGTACCTATGTACTTACATATGTGTAGAAGTATCCATAAGAAGTGGCTTCGTGTTTGGGAATAACAAAAAGAAAGAAAAAAAAGAATACCGAAGCTACAGCAGAGGACTTTTAACGACAACAGCAGCTGTTTGCTGCTGAGGGAATATAGTAAAACGTGCGAGCAATTGTGTAGCGAGCAACAACAATGAATAGACTGAACTTGGTAAGAAAATTGTATGTGAAAGGTGAAGAAACACTGAAACAAATGAGGTAACGCGTTGACATTGTATGCGCCTCTCTAATATGAGAGTATATATGTATGTATTATAGATGTATGTATGTTTGCATAGCCAGTGGTTATGTATGTCGTGCGCTACTCTGCCGACAGCCAACCATATTTCATTCGCCTGTTTCGTATCTACCAAACGGCCCACATTTTTGCTGTTGTTTTTTTTTTTTTGTAAGTTTTCGGCGGCAGATACAAGAGCGCCAAGAGTTCACCCGGCCGTTTCAGTAGTTCGTGTGAAGCCAACGTGACCGTTTGTCGTCGTCCAACACAGCAAAGGCAGCCAAATATCGAAATAAAAGGAGTGCAGTTGTTGTAACGTGTGCTAAGCAAATAGAAAAAAAAGAAATAATTTTTTCCAGAGAAAAAACTCTATTCAATCTCAGTGCACAAACGAGATTTGTGGAAAGAAAAATTTGAAGATTCTTAAACAAAAAATTACGCAAAACTTGGTAAAGACAACGGGTATTGTTGCTTTAACGTGCGTTTGTGTGCGTTGGGTTTTGTAAGAAAATCAAAACGAACGAAAAGTCAATTTGCTGAAGACAGTAGAAAACTGAAAATAGAAAATATCTCATCATACTTTTTTTTCTTTGCGCTCGAATTGACTGTTTTCTCTTCCCTTGTCGTAGAGGAAAAGAAGTAAAAACTCAAAATCGCATAGATAATAGAAAAAAGTAAAAAGAAATTATAAAACAATAAATAATTTTGAAAACCAAAACTTCTCTCGAAATCAAACGAAATCCGTTGTTTCTCCCTCCAAGTGTCGTGTGAAAAAATAATGATTAAAAGTTCTTCTTCACTTAAAAATTTGTGGTTGTTCAAAAGCTCCCATTTAAATACACGTCAACTCGTTGATGGATTTGTGAGTAAGCGTGGTAAAGCGACGGCTGTACATTTGGCCGAGAATTTGGAAGAAGGTGCAACGAATGGCAACGGTATTAACGGCAATAATAATAGCAAAGCTGCCAAAGATAATAAAGGGACAGCATTAAAGGACAACACCAACAGCAATTTAAATGCTAATGATAATAACAACAACGCCGTCACCAATTTAACGGAGGCCAAACAACAGACATTCTACAATAATTCAGTTTGGTTGGAAGATCGCTCAAAGTATGGACATACCGGCAAGGAGTTGCAAGATAAGATAGCCGCTGAGGTGAGTCAACGCGGAATTGCATGTTGCCTCCTTCTCCAAATTCATTCGTGTATATACATAAAGAGTATATATAATTTTTTATTCGTATGTACATGCACATATTTGGAGTTTTTTAAATTGAAAAAATCACTTCCCTATTCCCTACCAGCTATACGAGCGGCGCAATCGATTTTTTAACGTGATATAATCGTTGAAACACCCACTCAACACACCCTGACACATACAACACTATGCGCATAATGAATCTGTTAACGCATATAAATTATTTATGCATACATACATACAATTTGTAAATGTAAAAGCAATTTGTGCTTTTGGACAACAAAAACTATACTCTGGCGGACAATTCTGTCCTACATCCTTGTTATTGTTTTAAAGGCATTAAAGGCCCAATACAATGCTTATGATGTTGACCATTTGTCTTCCAAATAATGTCCCACCCATTTCCAGTATTTCGATGGTTATCAACAAATGCTTTTAATGTCCCAATATAGAAATTTCTGTACAGGATGCTTACATATAACTCAAGTTAAAAATCCCTTTTTATTTTATACATATGTATATGTGTAAATGAAATGAAATAATAATAGAAAAAACAATAATAATAAATAAATACCGTTAAACAAAAGAATAATAATAAAAATATAAAAACATTAAAAAAAAAAATTATATGAAATGAAAAAATAAAACGCACATTAAAACTAAATTATAATCACATTGAAAACGAAATAACAAAATAAAATGCAAAAAAAAAATAAATAAATTTAGAAACTTATAATAAATGAAAATAAAATTAAATAAAATAAAATTAAAATAAAAAAAAAATAAAATAAAATTAAATAAACTAAAATAGAATAAAAAAAAAAATAAATAAAAAAATAAAATAAAATAAAATGAAATGAAATGAAATGAAATAAAATAAAATAAAATAAAATAAAATNATGAAATGAAATGAAATGAAATGAAATGAAATGAAATGAAATGAAATGACATGAAATGAAATGACATGAAGTGAAATGAAATGAAATGAAATGAAATAATATGAAATGAAATGAAATCAAATAAAGCAAAATGAAAAAATAAAAAATATAAAATAAAATAAAATGAAATAAAAAATATAAAATAAAATAAAAAATTGAAATGAAATGAATAGAAAGAAATTGAAGTGAAACAAAACAAAATGAAATGAGATGAATTATTGAAACGAAATAAACTGGAAAGAAATGAAATAAATAAAGTAAATTAAAATAAATTAAAATAAAATAAAATTCATTGAAATATATTATAATGAAATAAAAAGGAATAAACAATTTAGTTCAAAATCTCTTTGGTGTTTTATATGAGACGCGTTCAACGCTCAAATATTATATAATGCTTTGATGACTGGCAGTACTGCTCTTATGCATTGTTGTGAAATATTTTAATCTAATCTGAGCGCCATACAGCTTAATGCGCGTGATGTCAGTCAGACAGTTGTGAGTTTAAATTTAATGCATAAAAAATATAGTAAATGTATACATTTCTCTTGAAATCTGACAACAATTCAAAGGCGACTTCACATTAAAGAAGAAGAATTATAATATTAAAATATAATTTTAAAGATAATTTTAAAACGGAAATATTTAATATAATTGTTTAGAAATATTATCCAAATGCCAGTAAAGACCTTTCTATATAATTTATTATCAAGTAATTTATAACATTTCTGATGTTCAACGATTAACGTTTGTTTAATAAATTTATTTTGAATTAAAAATCTCTGCAGGGTATTGTCAAAAAATAACAAATAAATAAATGAAAATAAAAAATAAGCGCTAATAATGCACAATTCTCACATGACTATCATGTACAAATATTTGTAAGTGTATGCTATGCTATATGCTAACATCAACACGAGTACATTGGTATATACAAGAACATACATTAGGGCTCCTCATCATGAGTGCGCGCCAGAATAATTGTACTAGTACTTAAATTTGCATATAATACATGAATATATTTACAAATATCAACACTTATGTTGTATACTAATATTTTTGTCAAAGACCAAGAAATTTTATTATTGTTGACAACATTTATTTTCCAGCTGCGTAATTTTCTTTTTAAATAAAAAAAAGGAATTTATTTTCACACTTGACTAAGGTGAATATTTAATCCGTAGCAAAATGTAAGGATTTCAAGCAAAAATATGAAAATTGGAGTATCGTGAAATTTTTATTTTTTGTTATTTTTTATACATTATGTATGTATGTATGTACTTAGCCGCTGTTGTGCGCAAATTGTTGCCAAGCCTACTTTCAAGGGATTCTAAATCATTCCGTGGGCGCATATTAATTAGTATAGCTTATTAGATTGCAACTCGCTTACCATGCTAGCTGTAATGGCTTTAATAATTTTATGACCAAATGTTCATTAGATCGATAAATGATATTTGAACAGATTGTCAACATTAAAGCAAGGAATTCTGTTCGAAAGCTCACATCAAGGTGTTTATTACCAAATTTAATGCAAATAAATTATGGAGTTTTTTATCACATATCTTATAAATTAATAAACAAATAAATAATACTTACCACATTATAGTATAAAACGAAATAAATATATTATTACAGCTCACACTTTATTTGATTCGAAACTCGAGTTGAATATTTAATTAATTAATATTCATATAAAATTATTTAATTTTGTAAGAAATTTCACTATTTCTTTTCAAATTATAGTTCCACTCAGACTTTAATTTTTTTGGATTATGCGCAAATTTCGCGTGCAATTTTTTTCAATTTCCTTTGGTGACCTTGAAGAAAATTTATTATCTAATCACAGTTAATAAAAGTTATTTAATTTGGAAATTTCCGCTTTTTGCCATAAAAGTGACGCTCCTAATTATTAAAAAAATATATTTTTTTATGCGAGTTTATGAAAACACAAATTGACAAATAATGTTAAAAAATATATTGAATTCAAATGTTATTAATTTATGAAAGGAAATCAATTATTTTATATTAATTTCATTTAAATATATCAGGTGTACAACTTTGCTTCCGCCGTTTTCCGATAGGTGGCTGCACCGGCTGAGGCTGGTTGAAATACATAGATGATAATGCCTTTGAAGTGAGTGTGGACAGTGCCTAACGAATTGTCATCGTCGTTTCAGTGACAGTTGTTCTTGTTTTCGTATTATTCACGCTCTAAAATGTCCGTTTATGTGCCTAATTCTCGCCATTTGCGGAAAGTTTTACTTTTCTGTTACAATTCGAAAAAAATGCAAGCTGAAGCGCATCGAATGCTCTCAGAAACTTACGGCGATCCTGCTCTGAGTGAAAGAACGTGTCGGGTGTGGTTTTAACGTTTTAAAAATGGTGATTTCGATGTCGAAGACAAACATGGTGGTGGAAAAGGAAAAACCTTCAAAGATGAACAACTAGAAGCATTGCTTGATAAAGATTCGTGCCAAGCCCGATAACAGCTTGCCGAATCGTTGGGAATGAGTCAGCAAGCCATTTCAAAACGTCTCAAGGCCCTGGGCATGATTCAGAAAGAAGGAAACTGGGTGCCCTAAGAGTTGAAACCGAGGGACATCGAGCAAAAGTGGTCAAAAAGTACCTGGAAACGCTGAAATGGGAAGTCTTGTCCCACCCCAGTATTCCCCAGATGTCGCCCCTTCTGACTTCCACATATTCCGTTCGATGGCACACGGCCTGGCAGATCAACATTTTCAATCCTTCGAAGAATTGGAAAAATGGATTGCTTCATGTATAGCGTCAAAAGAGGACACCTTTTTTCGAGCTGGGATCCGAAAATTGCCGGAAAGATGGGAGAAAGTTGTCGCTAGCGAAGGACAATACTTTGAATAATATATCTGTAAGCACTTTTTCGCAATAAAGCTTTTAATTTTGGAAAAAAACAGGGGAAGCAAAGTTGTACACCTGATACATTACTTCTATTTAATTTTTTTTTTGTTTTTTTTTTTTTATTTTTTTTATCTTGCCTCACTTAATTTTATTTATTTTATTTAACAATATATATTTCAAAGATAAGATTAAATTATTTCACAACAATTCACGTCATTATACCTTCAGAAATTGTTTAAAAATTAAAATAAATTGATCTTTTAGCCGGCAATTTCGTTCAAAAAACACAATTTATTTTATTTTATTTTGTTTTGCTTAATTAAATTTTATTTTGTTTCTGTTTTTTTTTTATTTTCACTTTTTATTGTTATACTTAAGTCCAACTATACCATGCACGTACACGAAATGGCACATTAACTTTGGATTGCGGTATGGAAGTATCAGAAGAAGAAGAGTTAATAAACCGATCAAAATTTATCATTTCCGTTGGTTAATCTGTCCGTCTGTTTGTACGCAAATCAATCACTCAATCATAAAGCAGCATGATCTGACAATGGCATATACATATATATTGGAGATTTTTAAGATTTGAGATTTCGGATCATAAATCTATCAAGAAAAAAAGCTTTTACAATTATACATTGGTGCTGATATCATACGAATATAACACATAGTTCTTAAGTGACGATTTTTCAGATGCGAGGATTTGTTTAAAACTCCGTCAAAAAGCATGAAATTTGGTCTTATACACGTAAATACCGATCTTGTATAAATATTATCATCGAATATCATCGAAATTGGAAAACTTATGCCATGAACCACTCAATCCAACAAATTTTTTTTTATGAGAATTTATTTATAGTCATGAAAGGTATACAGACTTCCGCTCATCTTTTCTTGATTTGTTTGGCTTTATATTCGTTTAAGTATATTATTTATCGTCATTTACATTGTTTTTTCATTTTTTATTTTATTTTTTTTTTAGTTTACTTTTAGGTAATTTAATTTAATTTAATTTTATATTATTTTATTTTATTTTATTTTATTTTATTTTATTTTATATTATTTTATTTTATTTTATTTTATTTTATTTTATTTTATTTTATTTTATTTTATTTTATTTTATTTTATTTTATTTTATTTTATTTT